CGGCCGCGGGCAAAAAGTCCGGCCGCGGGCAAAAAGTCCGGCCGCGGTGATCCCGCTGGGAGCCCTGCTGCAGGGCTGCTGCGCTCGCCACCAGCGCGGTGGCTAAGTGCCCCCGTCCGCCGCCCGCCCCCGCAGGTGTCCCGCAGGTGTCCCGCGTCCGTCCCGCCTGCCCCCGCCACGAAGGGAAGCAGCTCCGACCCCTGCCTCAGCCGCACTGTCCCAGGGCCACGGGCAGATTACACGGGCAGGGGGGCTCAACGCGGCGAGAGACGGGGGGCTGAGGAGGAGCAGGAGGAGGGCGCGGCGCGGCACGGAACAGCACGGCACGGGTACCTGCCGGGGAAGCGCCTCCGCTCCGAGCCCCGCCGCCGCTGCCGTTGCCAGAGGAGGCGGAGGCGGCGCTCGGGGCTCTGGCGCTGCCGCCGGCAGCTGCGGAACACGGGTTCCTCCAGAGCCCGCCGCAACGCCCGCTCCCTCTTCCCAGCGCGGCGCGCAGCATCTCCGCCACTGGAACCACCGCTGGAGCCACCACTGACCGCCTCGGCGCAGGCGCCGCTGCCACCGCCCCCTTCCCTTCCCCTCCGCACCCGGGGCAGCCTTAAAGTGTCCCGCCCACTGCATCGGCGGGACAGTTCCGCTCGCCTGTTCTCTGCTGTAAGGCACTCCCCGCTGGACTTTACAAAGCAGGAAAGTGCCTTGCAGATGTTTGCAGCAGGAATCCTGCTGTTCTGGAAGCTTGTACTTGCAGTTCGGCTTGCAGACTGTGACATGCGACATTGCCAAGAAGGAATAAAAAGTAAAATGCCTGCTCCCCCCCCGCAATCCCCCGAAAGGTTTTCGGCACTTACTAAGGTAGGCAGCCACACTGGATGCCATTATATCTGCTCACTGGCACCAGGTGGATCCTTCATCACAGTTCTTTACTGAAGGTGCAGTATTACTTACACTGTAAGGTGTATCTTCAGTTGGCTGTGGAAGGGTTAGCTTGAATTGACATTAAAGCAATTCGTCCCTGAGCGAAGTATAGTCTGACTCTTTTTAGTCCTATTTTAGGACAGAGTAGAAGACTTGTTATAGGAACATCGTAGTGTCTTCTTGCTCTGTAACAGGATAAAAAAAGCCTGCACACAGTTTTAGCATTTATTTATGAGAAATATGATGTGACGATAAGACAACAGTTGCATCTCAAGAGTAGCTGAAACTTCTGACAGCTTGAACACGAGCATTATGAATAGCACAGGCTTAAGAAATGTTGCATGTCAGAATTCTGAGGAAAAACACAGAAAGTCTTCTACATTACAGGTTCATTGACGGGACATGCTATGCATAATGCAAAGTATGATATGGATGCTTAAAATCCTAGAAGTAATTTGGATTTGTCAACAAGAGGAAATTAGTCAGTTGAATTATCCCAGTATAACTCAAAATGTACATAACACTATGTATTTCTACATTCGTTTGGTGTGGAAAGGGTTTAAATTAAATGAAGCTGTCCTTTTTTGGAATGAGACCAATCAGACAAATTTGTAACTTATGTTGATAAACTGTATTGTGTAAACATGCACAATAGTAACAGATAGAAAATTGGTCTTCTAGACTAAAGGATTAGCAAAAAATTTAAGTGAGCAGGTCTAGAATTAAAAGGATATTGTCTCATTTTGCACAGGAAAATTTTTTAATGTAGTGGAGAGCTGAGTTCACTGAGAATATAAAGTTAGTTCTTGCCATTGAAAAAAAAAGTCAACCCAAAGCAAACCCCAAACAACTACTTAAAGCCAAACAAAAGCAAAACTGCTTTATAAAGCATAGAAACATTCTGCTTATTTTAATGGTTAACCTGTGTTCTGTGCTGTTCTGAAAGCCCTCTTTAATTTTCATATGTGACAATATCCTAAAACCAAGTAGTGTTGATAGAAATAAAAAAAAAAAAGTCTTTATTATTTTTTTGTAGAGAGTTCTTGAGGATTTGCATTAGTATACCTGAGAACAGAGCGGGAATGGTAATAACACTGTTTAATTGCTGCTAAATATGAGGTTCTCCTCCAAGAGCACCTTTTGCCACGAGTTTGTGTGAGTGAATCGTTGCCTGAGCTACTACTCCACTGAATTGCTGGCAGTTCGAACTGACTGTAAAGCAAACCCTTTCCATTAAAGTGCTCTTTAAATACGTCACAGTATGTATTGTCAACTGGGACTGCCCTAGCGCGCGTAGTTATTTGCAGGCTCAGATGTTATAAGACAGCATAACAAAGGCGCACAAATAAGCATATCTGAACTGCCATGAAGTGTGAGGTACTCTCTTTGCTGTACAACAGATCATTTCGTTGTTGTTCACTGTAGCTGTGGAACCGCGAGTGTTCCCTCACAGCACCCAGGGCTTTCACCGCCTGAGTTACCAGGCGCGGCTTCTACGCGTCTCCTGAGACTCTCTTACTCCAGATTATTCCTCTTGATCTGGAAAACGCACAGAATTACTCAGGGTCGGCGTGACAGATCACTATGCGAGGCTGAACGGGCCGAACTCCCACTCTCCCACTTCCAGGTGGGATGGACGGCGCCTCGCCTTCCCCGGCCCGGAACGTTTGGAGGCCGGAACCTTCGGGCCGCCTGGCGGGGAAAAGGCGTGGGGAAGGAAAAGGAGTACGCGCGGCGCTGCCATTGCGCAGGTTCCATTCCCGGCGCTGCCATTCCCGGCCTGTCTCTTCCTGGCCATGTACCGGCCAGGGTTCCGCGCGCCCACGCCTCCCTACGCGGGCGGCGGCTTCCGGAGCCCCCCCTCCGGCGGAGGGCCCCTGCCGCCCTCCCCGCGGGGCTACGGGAGCCCCCACCACACGCCGCCCTACGGGGCCCGGCCCGGCCCGTACGGCGGCGGCCTCTCGCCCCGCGGGCCCGGGTTCCAGGGGCGCTTCGGGAGCCCCTCGCCGGGGGCGCAGACACCGCGCAGGCAGCAGAGCGTCAGCCCCCGGTACCCGGCTCCCTACGGCGGCGCGTCCGCGGCCGGGGCGCCCCTGCACCTGCCGTCGCAGCACAAGCGCTCGCCCGGGGGCTTCCAGAGGCACTTCCAGGTATGGGGCAAGGCGGAGAGGGACACGGGGAGGGAGGGAGGGAGGGAGCTGCTGCCGCTTTAAAGCCCGCTAGGGAGAGCACGCTGAGCGCAGCATCCACCCGCTCCAGCACGATTTTCAGCGAAGAGCGGCGCTTGCACCGCACTGGGCAACATCAGTGTTCCCTCCCCCCCGCAGCAGAGAGGACGGAGAGAACACAGCTCAGGCAGCTGTAAGATGAGGAAAGGGAACAGGCCCCGGGCCTGGCCTGTTGTGAAGACACAAGGGCTGATGAAAGTGCAACTTTTCTTTTTCATATTCTGGCATGTGAAGGTACAGAGAGAATTGAGCACCGCCCAAAACTGCAGCAAACGCCTCTTTTTCCTGTACGTGCCTCCCTTTGATGAGTTTTCTTCGATGCAATGGTAAAGCACTATGTGCTTTTAGTTTGCCTGTATTGTTAAATCATGGGAGCTTCCCTGTCCACACCCAGAGCTTCCTGGGACAGGGCTAGAGAACAGGAGTGCTTATTAAAGAGAATTAAGCTGAGGCTCCTTTAAGCAGAAATTGGAGCACCTGTTGGGATAATAGACTATCATTTTGAAGTCTTTGCATTGGACACTGAAAGCTTCTGTTTGTGTAAAGTAGTTTTCCTGACAGTCACTCCCAACGGGTTCTGCGGGTTTTGCTTTTTTTCCAGGTGGGTTAGTTGTGGCATGTGACTGGCAGTGCACATAGGGATGATGCCAACTTTATGTACGTAACTGGCTTTATGCATTATTAGAGAAGCCTTAAAAGTCCAACAAATGGCACGTGCAGTACAAGCAATGATAAATTTTGTAGGTGCTCTTACTGACACTTCAGGGATTAGAGTGTGATAATGAAGTCAAATCTTAATAGAGATTAGTAAAATGTTAATGTGCCTGCACTGCATTGTCGTATTTCCATTCAGAAATAGTACTTTGTTACTTTTTTGTGAGGCAGTTAGCTATCTTACAGGAATCTCTTATTTGGTGGAAGGGGATCATTCTGAGCTTTGTACATGTTCTTCAGCAAAACAGCAAAGACTCTCCTGGTGTGAAAGCCAATACATGCCTTAAACTCTGTACCTGTGGAAAAGGCCAAGGATGTGGTATTTCTGCTGCAGATTCTGGAGGGACAGTTTATGTCTTCGATGTCTAATTTCCCTTCAAAAGATCACTCTTTGGCTGTTCAATTAAGTGGCTTTTTCAAAGCCTACCTTAAAGTAATTGAGCAGAAGAATATGCAGGAATCCTTTTATCCCTAGTTTTAGTCAGAACTGTTTCTTGTCAGGACCCGTGGACAGGAACAGTCCCATAGGCTCATTTGTGATGTAGGAAACCCAGTATAAAGAAGGTAGAAGTCTGAATCCAGTCTCAGCTTGTCACAACATTTTCCCTTCTCCCCTTTCCTTCTGTAGATTTTGTGAGTAGTTTAGGAGCATTGGCCTGATGGTGATGCTTTGAAAGCCTCAAAGGATATTGTATGTCTGTAGCTCTGCTATGGCTGAAGTAATGTCTGTCTGCTTTTATGAGAATCCACAAGGGCTGTTTTTCCTGGGGGGATGCAGTGGAGGCAATCATAGAGGGAGGAAGTCTTATAAACCCCAAGTCCTCATTTTCTTTGGTGTGGACAAGAATCTCTCCATGAGGCCATGAACAGATTCAGGTAGAAGGCCTTTTTGCATTTTTGAAGCATCAGATTTCTTTGTGAGCCATGTGTATTGTCCCCCTCTCTTCTGTAAGTGCTGATGTTAAGAGAACTAGTGCTTTTGAAATCTGTGATGCTGTGGTCACTTTTGAGAAGGAAGTCTTAAGTGGTCCTTTAAAATCTCATCAGAAAATCCAAAAGACAGTTTATGTTTACTTCAGTGTTCCATTAATGTCATGTCATTGGCATTCTGTGCTCATTTTGTGCTTGCAGACATTCATTTTTTGAAATGAGCAGAAAACACAAAGGAAAACATAGAGAGCTTGTTTTTTCTGAAATGGGTGACAACCTTTATGTGGCCAATAGTTTACAGCACTTTCTGGTCTTTCCACAGACATGCATCTGCTTTATATATTATGAAAACACAGTCATGAAAATGTTGCTGTGGGATTTGTGGTGCTGAAAAAATCTCCGGAGCAGCTAATTAGGGGTGAGATAAGAAAGGGTTTATTTGCCAAGGCAGAAGATGTTACAAGACGCGCACCCCTGTGCCCGAGAGGTTACATTTTATAATATCATCCATCCAATCCCAGATGTGTCCACCCTGTGGCCTTTACCCTGGTCCGCCCTGGGTCCACCCCCTGAAAATGGGTCTGGGGTGCATTTCGGGACCCCCCGTTCATCCCATCTTCATCATCATCATCATCAGAGCACAAAGGGTACATAGTTACCTAATTCTTGACCTATTCTGTGGTTTAGGCCCAGATATGCTGTTCTGTCAACTGTCTAGGCCTTGCCTTGACAAAAGTCTAAACATTTCTATTAGATTTGGGGCTATGAGTGATATAGGGAGGATAGAATGGGGTAAGAGGGTTAAGGAATGTATAAACAAGGGTGCTAGAGAGAAAGGGATAGGGACAAGGGATGCTGCTTTTAGAGTCTACCTATAAAACTTACAAGGCTTACCAATATTAGAAAAATAAAAAACCATTAGGGGCTTAAGGCATCAAAAACAAGGGCCTGTAGTGACAGGACAAGGAGGAATGACTTTAAACTGAAAGAGAATGGATTTACATTGGATATTAGGAAGAAGTTCTTTACTTTGAGGGTGATGAGACACTGGAACAGGTTGCCCAGAGAAGTTGTGGATGCCCCATCCCTGGAAGTGTTCAAGGCCAGGCTGGATGGGGCTTTGAGCAACCTGGTCTAGTGGAAGGTGTCCCTGCCCTCTGAGGGAGGGTTGGAACTAGATGATCTTAAAGGTCCCTTCCAACCCAAACCATTCTCTGATTCTGTGTTTGTTGTAATTCTTGAGTATCTACTCTTAGAATTCACTTAGTGGTAATGTTTCCTTTTCTACACTCAGCAGGAATTAGTGAACTAGCTGGTAGCAGTAGCTTGTTAGTGGTGTGGATCAAAGATTATTACAAAAAGTGGAAAAAAAACCCCAAACCCCAACCTTTTGAAATGGTACAGTTGTGATTTTCATGTTTTCTGTGTATGCCAGCAGCTGTAATGACATCAGATGAAGAAAGCTGATAAAGGCAGTAACTGTCCCCATTTTCAAGGCAGTGTTACTCAGCTCAGTAAGGTGTTAGTGAGTAGCACTAAAAGATGTTGTTTTCTACTCTAGAGAGAGACTTTATATCTGGAGAAAAAGTATTGAGAACAGATTGACTGTTTCTTTAAGGAAAGTTAAGTGAGAAAAGGCTGTTGGCATCAGTGACAGCAAAAGAGAAAAGTTTTTTAAGGTATCTTTGGCGTCAAACAGTGTCTTTTGGACAGAATGGTTTAATTTCTACAGGTAGGGCAATTTCCCTTTTCCACAGGCCTAAAAAAATACAGAGGGGAAAAAAGCATATGTTGACTAGCATTCTAGACTTAAATAATCTACATGCTTAAAGTTAACACTTACTAAAGTCTGTCAATCTTGTATTACATAATAATACATTTCCTAGATTTCAGACATGCTAAAAATGTCAGTGTTACTGATGGCCTGCATATATTGTAGTGAAATTTAATATTATTAAATAAACCCATACAAACGAGCCTTACCACTGGATTATTTTGTTCCTTCACTGAATACTTCAGATCATTATGTCAGCTGAGCTTTGTGTTCTGCAGGTCAGATATAGCATTAAATAAGCTCCACACTCAAACTGTTATACAATGTCAAAGTTACTGGGTCTTCCTTAAATATGCTGGTTTAGAGATGGTGAAGTTTTGTGTTTTTTTCAGACAGAATGCCCTGTGTACTACTGCTTTACTACTAAATGTAAGGGCTTAACGTAAATGTTACTTTTGCTAGTGCATATCAACTTCAGACCATGTCCCTTAGAAAGTTTTTTAGATGTAGTCTGAGGTGATTCTCTCTGATCCTTGTAGGGTTTGATGCAATAAAGTAATTCTTCTGTTTTGAGATAATCATCTAAGCTACATAATCTGACTACAAAGGATCATTAGAAACAAGTGCCCTGTAAATAAGACATGGATGTTCCCACATTTGGTCATGTATGCATTGTCATTAAGCTTTAGGAGTTCTAGAAGAGTTCTTGCTGGAACCAAATTAACATGTTCCTGCCACAGCACATGAGCAGAAATAGGTTCAAGCTGTTTGAGGGAAATCTGTTCTTCTGGCTAAACACAGGGGGCTTCACTGTACAGCACCATTTCTCAGTTTTACCCAAAAATTGTTTCATGTGATCTATTTATGTAGATTCTGTAAGGGCTTATTAGTCAAATTCAAATACCATCACTGCTGGTCCAAAAAGTCAGGGCTTGGGAAGGGTAGGAGGGGGAAGCAGCCCATAATCATGGGGTTTTACTGTGCTTCCCAAAGTTTGATACAGCCTCGAGGAGTCCTGTTGTTCTAATCATACAGAATGCAATGGGCATGTTTAGAGACTATTGTGTACCTGTAATATGCGTTGTTTAACTTTGGTAAAAACAAAATTAATTTAATTAATACAGCTTTAAACAAAACCTCACTTTTTAGGGAAGTGAATCTGAAGAACAATGGATGATGCTAACAGGAGAAAATGGTTATAGGCATTCCTTTATGTCATAGCTCTCTTTAAGTTGCAGACTTGTAGCAGCTTTACCCAAGCAATTGTAGTGATCCTTGATCTTAAAAAAAAAAAAAAAAATCAAAAGTTCCATGTGAAAGTCAGTATCTGCTTAATCACTGATTACCATTCAGATTGTACATAAAATAAAACTATCTGTTCTCAAATTTCACAGAATACTGGTTTGAATGAAATGTGTTTTGTTCTCAGTGAGTTCTTTGGGTCATTTGTAGCTATTTGCATTAAACAACACTTTGTTCAATCTGTAAGTACTTAATATATGACTTCTGCTCTTGTTAATATTGTCAGCTCTTCCTCAGCCTGTAACTCCCTGTTTTGTTATTCAGCTTTTGTTAGACATGTCGTTGACTTAGGCAGCTTATGAAGAACAGCATGAGGAGCTTTTCTGTAGCTGTGTGCCAGAGTGATGTAAACAAGTATTTCGGAGAAATCTGTTGTGGGGCTTTTTTCTTATTTTGGTAAATCATCAGCTGTAATTAAAAGAATAATAAAGTTAATATTTTCTGAGAAAGATACAAGTGAGGCATAGTAATGATCATTAATAATCAGCTTCAAAGCTTTACTGTGGTAGAAAGAAACATTTATTTTTTTTTTTTAAGTTTGAATTAGTCTATTGAATGTTTCTTTACCTGATGGTTTTCTTCCAAAGGGATCACCCAGGACATCTACTCCATTTGGTACAGCGCATGGCAGAGAGAAAAGAGTGTCTAATGATGTGGAAAACTATTACAGACCTTCAATGCTTGAGGACCCATGGGCTGGCCTAGAGCCAGTTTCTGTTACAGACATAAACCAGCAATACAGCAGTGAGCAAACAACATGTACTGGTAAAAAAGGGAGGTATTTCAGCTAACACTTTTAAAGGCCAAATAACTCCATCTTGTCAGGAAAACTTTGGGACAAAATCTTAGCACTTACACAAGATGAACAGTAATCAAGACCTTAGATAATGCTTTTATTTGAACATATGTCCACCCTTTTATCCTACTTTTTTTTTATTGCATTGGATATTTTTATGTATGGGACAGAAAAGGAGTGGTAGGAAACCTTACATTTCTGGCTATGTGGAAGTGCCTACCAGCTTTGAAGAACAAAGTGTTCTTTAATCACCAGCGACTGATATGTGACTGTTAAAACAGGTTTCCTTATACTTACCTCTTCCATGCCAGATTGTTAGCCTTTTATTGTAAAGTACTTTAGGAAGTGGTATTTTTTTATGTTTCAACATTTTTAGAATGAAGTAACTTGGAAATAAAATAAAGTTTTGTAAATTCTTGTTTTGTAATGTGTAAAGATTATTTTAGGACTCTTGTTAAGGTGTACACATTAACACAAATAGTACTATTGAAATTAGGTGACTTTTGTAAATGTGCTTGTATGCTGTAGTTAACCTGCGGTTTTGTGCATAGTGATTTTTGTTAATTGCAGTGTAACGTGAAGTTGAAACGTGACTTTTAGCCATCTCAGGAAACAAATGTATTGCTTTTGGAAAGTTTAATTTGTTGAACCAACTCTTGAGTCACAAACTTAATTCTGTAATCATTTGCTTTTGTGTTTAAAAAAATATAGTTGAATCAATATTAGACATTTTTGGATTATAGTAACAAGTCTGTGCAGTGGCAGTTTAAGTCTAAGGAGTACATAAAACATCAAGATAAAATAACTGGAAATGTTCTCTGTGGGTTCACCTGTTAGAATAGAGGTTTTGTTATACTGTTGACATTAGTACATGCATGGCTTTTTTTTTTTAATGTACAATATTTTCCAATTATTTTTTATTTTTACTTATGGCAGGAATCATTGCCAGGAGAACTGTTTTGTGTGTGCACATGCTATATTTTTATACTGAAGTGGAAAACAAGGAGTTGGTTTTTTAGACCTTGTCTTTACATGGAAGATCCATGCATCTAAAGTACATCACCTGTGTTTTCCCCCAGCTGACCCTGTTGTTTTAGTATTATATCCAAAATGGCTGCTCAGAGAACTGAGAACATAATGCCTTCTGGATATCAAGAATGGTTAAACCTTTATCCCAGAATCAAAAGAACTGTGCCTTAAATGGCAGCTGTCAGTATCATTATCTGTAATAGGTACCAGCAAAACTGAGATGACAAGTTGCAGATAGTCTTTAGAATTTATATATCAGTTAATTGATGTCAATTGTGAAAAGTGAAGTATAAAGTTTTCTTTCTTTTTTTTTTTTTAAACCTTGTCAGGTGCTGTAAAGCTCACAAAAAAAAAAAAAGTTGCAGTCTGCTTAACCAAGTCACCTTTTTTTTTATTGCTATTTCCCATGTGATTGAATGCAATTTATTTTTTGCAATGTTTGGTGATCTTGGAGAAACAAATATGATTTTATTCAAGACACTAAAGCTCTGATGTGTTCACAGATATGAGAACAGTCTGGGTTTGGAAAGGAGAAAGGAAAGGTAAAGGATTCCTGACAGGAGGGAGTCTGTTAAGAGGTGGGACTGCTTACACAGTGGGCAGTATCAGCTGCCTTTGCACATTGCAAAGGTACATTTTGCCACTTTGGCTTTGCAGTTGGCCCAGGGATCAAAGCCAGCCTCCTCTGGTAATAATTCTTAACTCCTGGAACCAGGTGTCAGACATCAGTGAAGATAAATGTTCCAGAAAGACTTGAGGAAATATTCTTGAAGCACTGTTTAATCAATGCAGACCTTCTACAATGGCATCTGTTAAGCTGCTGCTCCAGTACACTTCAGGATATGATCCAACAATTATATCACACTGCTAAAGACTCCAATCACTTGGTCAAGAATCCACACCAAAAACTTAAAAATTATTCACCTTTCTGGCTTCTAGGAGAAATTCTACAATTACAGTAAAATTTTTAAATGTCATTGTTGAATAGCTGTAAAATGCATGAACACAATTTCAGAACTATAAATATAATGTACTTAAAGCCAATTTAAGCTTTGCCTTTTGTGCTGCGATACCCAGAAAGCTTAAGCACTTACTTCCTCACCAGGTTTTTTTCCTTTTTACCATATGGCAAACATTCTTTTTCCCCACATGTTTCTAACAAAGAGAAAATATATCACTTCCTCATTTATTAATGAAGCTACTTCATAGTAACACTATGACTCTGGAAATAGTATTTGATGATAAAAAGTAAAGCACAAATGCATCCTTTCTTCATGAGCCCATGAAACAAAATAGTGCCTATGTCTTGTTAATGAAGGGATTCTTCTGTAATGAACGTACTAAGAATATGGGCATTGCTCTTTCTTCAACAGACTTAGATTTTAAGGTAAGTAATTTAGCTCCTTTTTCAGAAGTTTGGATGGGTATACTTTTCCATTCTGTTCTGCTTGCATTGTGTTTCTCCATCAAGTCCATTTGACTTTCTATTCAGTTGTTGTAAAGGACTTGTATAACTCTTGACTAACTCCTCCAGCAAAAATTAATTCATTTGTTGCTCTTTGCTCCTGTATTTAACATTGAACTGCATTGCTACTACTCTGTGCTGATATCACAGTAACATAACTTAAATCAGATGAATACATGTGTAATGGAGCAACACACTGGGTGGGTAGTTACCCCAAGTTGTACTAGAATAGTTCCAAGTTCAGGTTTGAGGTTCCATTGCAGCTTTATAATATGGAATATTCATTCTTCTCTGGCACTTAGTACACACTATTTTATATTGAAACTGTTAAATAATTTAGAATATTGAAATTACAATTAAAATGGGATTTTAAAAGTTCATATCAAGCTCCTCTTTAGAATTAGGAAAATGCTGCATCTCAATTCATTATTGCTAATGTCAGAGCTGGGAACACTTGCCGGGGAAAATGCTTCTGGAGAGCAGAATGGATAACTACTTTTGTAGTCAGGTTGTTTTCCTTTTCCTGTTAAGGGTATCTTTATGTGCTCTTGAGTTTATATAAATTGTGTAATTAGACATCTGAGGGGGAGCATTTGAAACATGCATTAATTATATGGAAATTCTACAAGCAGCTGTTCAGCTTCCTTCTAAAGAAAATTTTTTCATAGTCAGTTTGGGCTTCAAGTTGTGCTTCTGAGTAATCTCACTGAAGTCAGAGGATTCACTCATGCAACTGAGATGTGTAAGTATCTAATGTAACAGTTTGAAAATTGTATCATCCCTTAGTCTGTCAGTGCTTTTTTCCAACACTGCAGTTAACTGCTCTGCCTAGCTATTGCTCTGAATTCAAGTTCATATATGAGCCAAGACTGTCTTGCAAATTAATTAAACTTGTTCTTAAAAAATTTTCCAAAACTCTCAAGAGTAAAGACTGTTCTCCTTTCCCCAAATCTTGGTGCTTGCCTTCCTCCTAGCTCCTTGGAACTGGGGAAAAAAGGGAGGACTGCCTACACTGATTGGTGAAGAATCATGTAATGATTTTCATGTCTCAGGCTTTCAGAAACTTGTGTACCAATTGATATAGGTAACTAGATAAACTTTTTTATCATTTGAGATGTCTCAAACAACTTTTTATAGCACAAGAAATGAAAGAAATCAGTTATGCTCAGCAGTAGTACAGTTCCAGTATTCAGTCATTAATTCACAATCAAATTTTTTTGCCTAAAGTAACTTTTCATCTGTATATAACTAGGCACAAAGTGAGTCATTTTCATTTTCTGCCATTTTCACTGAAATGTGTGCTTTGCTGACTTGGAATTTAAGAACACTCTCAACCTGGACTTCTGAATTTACTTTTACAAAATTACTAGCTCTGGAGCGTTAGACCTCACATCTAGGTCTTCCCTTTAAGGCATTTTAGATCTGGCAAAAAGAGCTTTGTCTCATCCCCATTGCTTCCTTGATGACACTAGGAAACCTTTGACTAGGGCTAGAGACAGTTGTGCAGATGCTTGGTGCAAGACCAGGCCATCAAGGTACCTTTCCTCTCCTAGGGGTTACCTCTACCCTTGCCATTCCAGAGCAGTGGGGCCTAGGAAGTGTGTTGAGCCAAATAATAATCCTTCATTTTGCTTCACCAGCTCTGTGTGGGTTTCAAACCATAACCATATTGGGGGTTTGCTTAGTGCATGTCCTGAATTTTAAATTTCATCAGTGTCTTCTGCAGTAAAATCACAGGTGAATTCCACTGACCTTTGTTCATTGATCTGTGGCTGTTGCATGTTGCTGTTCTGAACTATTAATGTAAACATTTGTACTCAAGAACATAACTTTGTGGCTAAAAGGGGTCATACCAGTACAGTTCCAGAGTAAAATTTTTAGTACCGCTGACACCACTGCTATTAAAATAAGAGCTTCTCTGTCCCCCTTTAACAGGATAAAAATTGAGCAGTTGAGATGCTGAGCTACAAACTGTGGTCTGTGTAGGGCCAGCTGGACATACCTCCATTAGCTGATTTCTGGATTGGAGATAGAATGGGGTTTTAACAAAGAGCTGAAAAAAATTACCATCCCACTCCCTAAAAAGACAGAAAAAGGTATTTCTCAAAAGTAACCTTACACATGAAACAGGAATTCTTACGCAGCCTCAAATTTTTCCAGAGTCTCGCAGAATGTGAGTTCTGTGTTATTCTTTTTCTTCTGGAGAAGCACGGGCTTGTTACCATAACTTCAAGGCTTTCCATGACATGAACTTCAGTTAAAACCATCAGCTCACCATTTGACCTGCTCTCTGACAAAGAAATCTCTAGGCTATACTGTTCATTGGATGTCAGTATTATTTTTTTGACAGTGAAAAAGTTACACCTTCAAATTCTACCAGAGACCTAATTTTCACATATTGAAATTAATTCTTCAAATTGCTTAATTCTGAGTATTCATTTTTTCCAGATAACCGTGACAGGATTGTGGAGAATGTATTAAAGTTATGCCTTTTTTCCCTATAAAAGAAAGATAATAAGTTGAATTAATTTCATTAATGTATCAGTCGTGGTTCAAGTAGTGATGGCAGTTTGCAAATTCAACAGAATCTGGGACTCCCTCCTTTCTTTCTTGAAAGGGCTTACACTTTCCAGAACTGGCCAACACGGTTCACCCACAGGCACGCCGGGTCAGAGCTTTTGCAGGTGAGATACTGGGATGGCAATAATAGTCTCCAGGGTGCCAGATGGACATGTGAATAGGGACATCACTGCAATTCAGTGTGACCTGTATTAGCCCATTTCTACATTGCAGCTACAATAGGATTTTAACAAGGACAAAACAAGTAAGTCCCCTTCCCTCCCACACACAGAGACACACTTCAAGGGACTTTTAATTTTCCAAGTCTATGGTAAGCCACTATGTTACTGAGGTAAAGAATAATAGAATTTAAATTGTTTTTTCATTTATTCACTAGTGACAGCATCTTAGGAGGCAAAGAATTTGACATCACATCAAGCTGAAATTTTTAACACAATTACTTTAAAATGGGCTGCACTTGAAAATCCACATGTACTACCCTGCTTCTGTGGGCAGCAGTAATCATGCTGCTTGATGCTGTATTAAACTACACTTAAAGCTTCTGGTATCCATATGTATTTAGCCACAGTCTAATTGCTGTGTAGCCGAGATAGTTAAAAGCTGTTACTGTAGAGCCAGTAGGTTTAAATCTTTGTTGTATGCATGAGGAAATTCCTAAGAGTTCAAACTGCAGAACGTGATGTTGATGCAACTGTTAGTATAAAGACCTGTAAACAGAAGAACAAAACCTCTTTGATGCAGATTATTACCTTTTCAAGCATCACACAAGCTAGTGCTAAAACAAGGGAAGAGGACTCAAGCTAATTGACAACTTCCTGTGGATGACTACACAGCATAAACCACAAATAACGGTGCCATTGCACTTTCCTAAAGCTTTCTCTTGTCTGCCTCCTGGTTCCTATGGCAATAAAATTACACTAAGGAAAATTACATGGTTGTTCATTTTCAGATGTTAGCTGTATGTGCACTATGGGCAACAGGTTGAGAAACTGCGATAACTGCTTCCAAATGAATGAACTGACAAATTGTGTCCCTCTTGGAACTGAAGACAGCTTACACTACCAGCAGTGTTCCTGTACTTTGAGTAGCTTCTAAAATAAAATTCCAAGGATTTAGAAAGCTTGTGCAGAGAACCTTTAAATCCCTGTTATCAAGCTATCTGTTGCATCTGGTTGCATTTTTCTGACACTGTTTAATTTCCTCTCAGAATAATTGCTGCATATTTTATACATAGACTCTCCTGTAGCCCATCATCATCACTGCTGTGAGTGAGGTGAGGAAGAAATAGCTAGTGTCTGCACTTTGTGGCAGAAGAGAACCCAGTGTTTCCTGTTCTCCCTATGTCATTCCCTAAAGCTAATAAAATATTCAGAGCAAGTTTCAAATGTGTTGCCTTCCTGACAGGAGGGATGCCAGCAGAAAGGCAGCCATGCTTTCCAACACATGCTAATAATAAGTGGTAGCTGTTTAATTCAGTGAGCATCTGAAAAAACCCCACATTTCCCCAAGCACCTTTCAATTCTGCTGTAGAGAATACAAATAGACTCAGAAACATTACTCTTAACAAAAGAAATCCACTTCTTACAGCATAAGCATTCATGGACTTCAGATAAATGAGAATTTCTGTGATTTCTTTGATAATCCATGTTTGTGCTTCATGGCTCTCCAGGAGAGCTGCATTTCAAGTCTTCTGTGGCTAAAATAAGTATGCCAAATTATATATAATTTTTTAAATGGAAGGTAGTTTTATTTTTAAAAAAGTGAAAATTGTGTTAAAAAAGGAAATTCTGACACAGGAGAATTAAAGGGAAATCCCTGCTGCAGTTAACAGGGGTTTTGGTTTTCATCCTTTGTCTGACCTAAAACCTGCAATGACAGCAGGAACAATTTCAACTCAAGATAAAAGTTTTAAGTTTTCGTTCACAACACTGTAGCAATGGAGTTCACAGTCTCCTAAGAAATAGAGAGGGATATTTACACTATTGAATTTCACTGCATATGGAAATGATCTGTGCCGTAATCCCTTTCACTGGAAGATTCTTAAACAATTATCATGGAGTAAAGCGGTGTTTAGCTCTACTAGCCATTACTTTAACAAGACTTTTTTTTTAATGACCAGGATCTTCATAACTGATTTGATGCCTAATCTGGTGCAGCACCTGCTCTCTCATTTCCTGGATGCAAATGTGGTTCAGCTTTTCAAACTAATGAATCAGAAAGCCAGTTGTGACAGTGTTGTAAAATTATTATTTTATTAAACTTTAGAAACAGAAAAATAAGCCACAAATTCACTTCCAGAGTTGAGGTTTCAGGTCCTGAAGGGTTTTTTTGGTTGGGGACTTTTTCTGGACAGGAGCTTTAAGTAGCATAATCACTTTCTAAAGCATAGGACTGTCACCATAATAATTGTAAGTCTTTTCATGCATCTTACTTTTTAAAGCTACAGAAAACTGAGCCTAAAAATGTTAATAATCACTAGTAGTGGTCAAGCTCTGGAAATGCTGAACTTATTATGCAACAACATGTCATATATCACATGATGTAGATGAGGCTTTGCAAAACACAGAATGTGTAATACAAGTGTTACAAACCTGATTTCTTGCTTTTTCTGAGTGGCTACAGAGCATTTAGTGACAATTTGAGTGGCTTTTGCCTTCCCACTTAAGAACAGTTCTAGAACTACTCTGAAGAACAGTAGGGGCTGCCAGCTTCCCCAGTATACTTTGGGGCACCTGCTTTACAAATATTCTACCAATAAGAAGTCTCATTCCCATTTGTTGGGTCTATGTGCTTATGAATTTAATAATGCTGCTGTTGATGTGTTCTCTCTCCTGTCCCATGAAATCCTCCAGCAGTTACATGACTTGTGAAAGCATTACACAACCAAATGGTGCCCAGTTGGAAGGGGTCAAGCCAGTGTCCTATTGAAGTCTTTGCACAGCAAAGTATGTGCTTGTATGTTTTTAATGTTGATTTAGTCTTGTCAAATTGTTGTCTCCCTATTGTGTAGAAACTTGGTCAGTTACCACCATTTCTTACAGCAGAACCTGTTTTAAATACTGATCACACTTAAAACACAACTAGAAATAGATTCCCAGAAATTGTCAGTGAAGCACCTGCATTTGATATTCTTTCTATTCTGCAAATGAAATCCTGACCTTTTACTGTTAACTGCAGTGTCTCTTGTTGTCAGAAAAAGGTTTCAGACATTTTAATTTTTAATTAGTCAATAAAACTGATCCCTCTCATTCTCATTGCATTTATCTTCCCAATTCTGTAAGGCAATTGATGATCTCACCTAAATTTAAACTGCCAGCTTCCGCATGTTGTTATGGACCACAGTGACCATATTTAGTTCTACTGGATGCTGTTTACTCCTCTTCTGTTCTTGCCACTACATGTCATACTGATGAAATATTTAGACAGAAGTATATTTTAACCAAGACAGGAGGATACTGGGACTGTGTCTCAAACAATTAGATACGTTTAGAACTTGATGGAAATACTTATTCAATGCTTTGATGTACTGCTTCCCATAATGAAGGCCATCCTGTAATAGTTTATACAATACAAAAGCTTTGTAATGCTGAAACCTTAATACAGGATTTGAGGAATGAAAAAGAAGAGTGGAAGAGGCTGCAAGGTAGCAACAAATGATGGGTGCTTAAATAAAGAATGCAGAATATTTCCCTGGATGTCAGGAAGCAATTTGCATTCTAACAGCTGAGACTAACAACAAATACCCAAATCAAACTGGAGCTTCCCAGGAGATCAGTTGAAAGAGAAGGCCATGTACAATTTACCTGATGCTAGAAGCTGAAATAGAGTTGAATTTCTGAAAGAATAGGTCTGTGAAATTCTGTGGAATTTGTTGGGTGTTTTGTCATTTTTCCCAGAAGGCACCATTGTAATTGCAAGTACAGTTTGCAAATAAAAATTACTACTACTACTACCTGCATGTCTTCTTTCACTGTTTTGTGTAACTGTATGTGCTTGATAGGATGTCTCAGAGCAGGATCTGCAATCCATAACAAGAAGCAATCTGCAGAGAAAAATGTACATAGCTTCTAAAGTCTGCCAGGTTCAGAGGAATACTTTCCCCATGTGAAATTGCCAGACCATCTGCAGAAAATTTTTTTTTACTATTATTTACTACTCCTCATATACAGCATTAATAGATTTCTGTTCATTTCCCACATCATCTGTAGTTCTTAGTCCACTGTCCAACCCCTCTCCCCCATGAACGATTTTCATGAAAACAGAGATTTTAAAAAATGGTTCCAATTGGTCTTTGTTCTGCAAAAAAGCAGGAAGGTACCTGTGCTGCCGCTGCCAGAGGGTCCACTGCCTTCCTTGTCTTGAGGGCAAGGATTCCAGCCTGGGGATCACATGACTTTCCAAGAGTATTTGTGGGGCAGGGAAGGTTACAGGACCTGCACATGGATAACTTTGGCTGCTGGTTTTGTCCACTGGGCACAGCATCGTTTGTTTTCCGGTATGGGGATGTGTTTTCGTTTTAACTAGCACAGAAAGGCAGGGGGATGCTCCTCTTCTGTAACTTCATGTATGTTTTGCCAGTGGAGCAGCTGCAAAGCAGAAGTCCCAATCTCTCAAGCCTGCATTGATTTGCAGGTGGTTTCTAACATCCAAAAGCTCTCTGAAGGATAATGGCGGTAAAAAAAAGCAGAGAAAAAAAAATAAAAAGCAGTGCCAGACCAGGTCCTGCTTTGAAACCACTCCCATAGATCCTTTTTGCAATTGGTCAGGATGAAGAATGAAAGTAGAGATACCTTTGCTGGACACCTAAGTAATGATCTCTTCCTTGCTCGGGGAAAATCACCTCCTGAAGTCAGGCTTCTGTCCAGTTCTCTGTACAGTTCCTTGCTCAGGGTGACCTAGAGACAGAGCTATGAGAGAAACCACCATTGGCAGCTCTTGGTGCTTCCAGCAGCAGGGCATCAGTACTTCCCTACCACTGCCACCTGGGCAAAACTAAGATCCTCAGAAGACATTTGAAGGGCAGGAGAAAGTGTGCTTTTCCCCTATGACAGTACCTGCTGACATGCTGTGTGCATTTGTAAAACAGGTCTGAAAAGAACTTGCACAAAAGAAAAAAGGCACCTGTATTAGACATTGCTGCACATTAAACACTTGCTTACAGCTATGTCCTATAGCAGCTAACACAGTACCCTAGCACATAGGAGGTGGTACAGCACAGACACACATCTGCACAAGCCAAATACTAACTACAGAAACCAATTAATCACCCCAAGTTGCCTTAAGGGCAGCACACAGCTGTCAGATCTGCTTGCATGTACCGGGAGCTCCCAGGCTGGTTTCTGTAACGCTTACCCTCAAGTATTCCCTTTTCTAACCAGCTATATCTCTTCTACCCTGTATTTTTTAATATTGAAAAAAATCTTCACAAAGACTCTTTGCAAGAAGTCCCATTAAAGATATATTCACCATATTATGAGAATTAGCCATATCAATAGTACGTCCAAAGTGCCCCCAGAGGAACTGCTGTAGCGGAATTGAAGCCATGCTGCGTAAAATGATCTGAGCATTGCCTATTAGCAAGGGCTGCTATACATGAAGAAAAAGAAAACACTACCATAGGCTCAGACTCAAGGTTCCTCTGACTGTGAGTTCTCTCCAGGGGCAATAAAAAAACCCCACCAAAATAAGCAGCCATAATGAGCACACGATTCTAAAAGCAAGACCCTGAAGCTCCATCAAAGCGAATAATTGACTGGGGAAAGAAACAGTTCCCCTTATTTGTCAAGTAAGTTCTCTCTCCCCTTCTTTCTGCCACTGTAAAGTGTTCTGACTCATTTTCTCCCACACTGGGGGAGTTTGGTAGCTGTAATCCCGTTCATCCAGATGGCCTGTCAGGGTTTATAGGCATTCCTTAAAAATAGAAGCAACCTAATCCTGGTTCTGGTAATTTAAAAGAAATTTTTGCAAACCTGCATTGTACTTTTAGAGCTAACAGGCAATAATTCATGGCTGTGATATGAGATGGTTGGTTTCCTCTTTTGCCACCAATTTCACAGACACATTCCTTGCTCTGTGTTGATACAGGCTGTTGTTTTGCAGTTATTTGCAATCTCTCGTCTTTCACTTGATTATGATTTTTTGCAGCTGAGGATACTGATTCTCATGCAGATCCTACTGGAATTATTACTGGCACCTTATTACACACCCATGTGGCAGTAACAGCTGAATGAATGGGATGCTGCACCATTTTCAAACCATTACAGTTTCATACTCCAACAGAAACCAGAGCCAACTTTGTTACATTACTGGTTGCAATAGCAGCTTACATGAGAAAAACTGAGCAGACAACTAGAATTGGTTACACACAACTGCCAGATCTGCTGTGTGCAAGTCAACACGCTGTGTAATAGAGCCTGACCTTGTCATCAGAATTCAAGTCCAGGCTTTAATTGTAGCTGTCATCAAAGTACTGTCTCCAAAGTGAGATGTTTT